ATTTTATGACACAATTTCATATCAAATCTTATGATGTGCACTTAAAATTTACATGATATTATATGTAAATTATCTCAACAAAATGGCATATGGTAGAGAACAAAACCTGAGGTCAATGCTAAATTCAATAGTAGTTGGTTTTGTGGTGATAACTTACTTTTCTCATCTGTTATCCTTTCTGTGTGGGGAAAAAAAAAGACAAACAACAAAAAGTATGTTAGAGAGTGTCTTTCCCTATTCACACGAAAACTACCTCCGGTCTTGTTTCCCACTGACAAAAGATATCGTTAACACTACAGAACTGATGGCTCCTTCTACCTGACACAGAGACTCCTTTTTTGATTAAAAAAATTAACACAGGGCCCTCCCTGTTGTCGAAATGGGTTAAAGTGCAGCACTATGAAGCTAGCCTCAACCGCTTCAGTACAAGTTCAACCCCAGGTCAGGAAGGTGACCCACAGGGCACAACCAACCTCTTCTGTCTCACCCACTGCTCCCCTCAGCAGTGTATTTCAGTCAACTTGCCTGAAATTTTTGCTACCCACTCTGTCTCTGGTAAATCACCTCAACCCCCACACCTCCGGCCTGTACCCTAGTTCTGTATGCATAAATAAATAAATCTTAAAAAAAAAACCACAATGTTGGGCCCTCCCTGGTGGCACAGTAGGTTAAAGCACAGCACTAAGAAGCTAGAGCCATTTCCACACGAGTTCAATCCCCGCCTGCCCAGGAGGTGACCCACATGGTGCTGCAGACCTCTCCTGACTTCCCGCTGCTCCCTCAGCAGTGTACTTCCTCGATCTACCTGTTCTGCCCCCCACTCTGTCTTTGGTGAATCCTCTCACTGCCCCTGCACATCTGGCCTCTACCCCAGTTCTGTATGTGCAAATAAATAAATCTTTAAAAACATTAACACAATCTAAATACTCTCTGACTTGTGAATATACTAACATAAAATTTAATTAATTAATTTTCTTTCTTTTTTGTTTGATTTTGTTGAAAATATACGTGCCAAATACCTACAAACTCTTTACTACTCATGACACCCAAAAGGTTTGGTCTAAAAGACTTTCATATTTTCATTTAAAAATAAAAGCAATTAAGAGGAGATCTGGCAAGTGATTCAAAGAAACTGGAATGGCAATTGAGGAATTATATATTTCTTATAGGGAGAGATGCCACTGGATAGAGGATTTGAAATATGGAGCTGCTTTACCTTAGCTTGGGTCAAAGAGGTTGGTTGTGTTTTGCATACTCAAGTCAAGCAATAGAGACTTTCAATAAGTAATAACCCTACAAATAAACATGTCCCTTGGAGTTTCAGAAATAGAGGCCATCTTCTGATTCACACCTTAAAATGCTCCAAACCACTGGTTGCTGAACTGTCCGTTAGCCTCAGGAGCCTGTAGCTGTGGACCTTATCTTGATCTAAAACTGACAGCTGATAATGAACCATGTGTATAGACAATTAAAAAGAGTGCTCTTTTCTTATATGGAATATAATGTTTAATATAGTTTTAATAAATCAAATATACTTTAATGTGATACAGTTGCCTCTACAATAGAAATGACCACTACTCACTTTTGGACAAGGATAAGACTCAAAGGCAAAATTTTATAAAAGTTTGCTGTTACCATGGGCTGCTTACCAAGAGGTTAAAAACCTGATGACTCTTGGCCGAGTTTCTTTTGTCGTATTTATTTATTCATTCATTCACACATTAATTCATTTTACCATTTCTGAACTATCTTTCCATATCTTATCAAGTTAACTGCTATCGGAAGAAAAGAGAATAGCAGACTCAAGAAAAATCACAGACCTTGATACCAAACCAGTTCAAACTAGAGCTGTGGGCACACAGCCTCCATGAGATGGTCACCTTGGAGATGTTCACCCAGCTGCAGCTGATTGGTGCTCACAATAACAACAAAGGAACTTTTGTCAAGTTCACTGTCTGCTTTTTTAGTCAATAAAACTTAATTCCTTTGCTCTCAAACCCCCTTCCTAAACCCTACATAGACTATGAGCCCAGCATCTCTCCTAGAGCCTCATGTCCAGTAATAGCTTCCCAGAGCACATTTTTCTTGCTCTCTCAATAATTAATAAGTTGTAACTCTTTGTCTGCTCTTGACAGTATCTGTGAAGTCCTCTTTTCTGCTTGACCAGAAGGTCACAAGAGCCTTTCCTGGGCTTAGAAGCAGGCCCCTTGGCCAGTTCTGATTCCAAGATGTAAAACAGTAGACAGTGTTTGGTTTGCTTCTGGCTAATCCACCTATGTCATTGGAGGATGGAGTTAGAATGAGGGACCTAAGGACACGCCCTTGTCCGATCTTGTTTGATAACAAGAGCTGTAATCCCTGCACCCAGTTTGATTTGTTAGGTAAATATTTATTAGACCTGTACATACATAAATAAAACAAATATTTTTTAAAAAATCAAATATGCAGAATTAGGTGTGGCTAAATTATTTTCTCTTTTCCAGTATTTTTCTTCTCAATTTTAAATGCTAAAGATTTCCTATTGATCAGTTCCTAATTTCTTGTTACTATAACCTCTGATTTCCAGAAATGAAGTCAATTCCCACACTCTTACCTTTTCTACCACGCACAACATATACAGTCAATAGGGTGGTAACAACAGCCAGGAGAGCCAGGACCACAGCAAATCCCACTATCCAGGGGTAGGGAGACAAGGCATCTGAAAAACAGGAGCTTCCTACTTATGATCAATCTTGACATCAGATGACTTCCCTGCCGAGAATGACTCTTAAGATGTTTTCTCCTGGGAGACACATTTAGAAAGGGAAAAGTTTCTAAACTTCACCCACTCCTCCCTACAAATCAAAGGATCTCAGGAATCCTATAAAGGTTCATGTTTCCTTTCTTTTTCTTAATGTATAGGGACCCAGAAGGTTTATTATCTAAATTATGAAAATTTTTAGCATGTTGAAAACATTGCAATAATGTGTCAAATCTCAGTCAAGATTTAACAAATGTTACTATGAGAAGACATTTTCTTCTTTCATAATAAATGACACATGACAAGTGCAATAAAGGATTTCCTTTCATTCAGTTCTCCTCCCTCTTAGAACTTTACCATATGTCCTATTTTCCAATTATTTTCTACAAACAAGAGTATGTGAGCTTGAACATATATAGCTGAGGAGAAATTCTAAGATTAAAGGCAGGATTATGAAGTCTCATGGTGTAGTCATTGGAGTGAGAATTCTGTCTCATGAGCTATCTGACAACTAGTAACTGAAATAATGGCTATGGTCTCAATATTTTTCTATTAAATAAGTTGGTTCAGAGCCCTCCCTTGTGACGCTGTGGGTTAAAGCACAGCATTAAGAAACTAAAGCCACTTCTGCCTGAGTTCAATTCCCGCCTGCCCAGGAGGTGATTCACATGGTGCGGCAGACCTCTCCTGACCAACGGCTCAGGGGTATACTTCATCAATCAGCCTGATCTGCTCCCCACTCTGTCTCTGGTGAATCCTCTCACTGCCCCATTTCTGTATGCATAAATAAATAAATTTTTTTAAAAAAATAATAATGTGAGTTCAAATAAGCACCAAGAGCACTTTCACTCATGGATTACCCTTATTTAATATTTCAATGAGATGTCTGTTAATAAATAGTTAACTACTTAAACATATGTAAGAAACCTTCTTTTAAAAATTCTGTCCTTTACACTCATGTTTTCAAAGAGCTTTATATCATTATGAGTGGGGAGTATTGATTTCTTCTTTTCTCAGCCTTAAATCATTAGTCCCTCTTAATCCTTTGAAATTCCCTCAATTTCCTGCTTCAATGTAAAATTCCAAGCTGGAGTCTTGTTTATTTCCCCTCTTCTAACCTTGTTTTTCTAATGTTATTTTTAAAAAATCTTTTCCTCTTACATCTGCACTTGGCTCTTTCACATTTGTAATTTCAACTTTTCTCTCTGATTACCTTAAACCAGTGGGATTTCTCAAACTAAAGTACAATGTCTATTGTTCTATTGGCAAAGGTCCTTATACTTTTTAAAAAATTTAAATTTTACAAAAATATAATGTGAGTTGTTATTTTACTAAGTAATAGGGATGGAAAAATAGAATGAGTATTCCCTACAGAGTCTATACTCTACTGAGAAGACAGTGAAACATAGAATAAAAATAATGTAAGAGTGAAGAGGGCACTTAACAGAATGGGTTAAAGGTGGCTTTCTACAAGGGGAGAGAGGATTAAGATCTGAAGGACCAATAGGAAACTCTTAATTACAGAAAAATAGAAAGAATGTGGTGCTAATAGTTTCTATGGATATTATATGATTGGAACCAGCTTGATGTGAGGTAGGAGGGCGGAGGACAGAAGGGAAGGGAGTGATGAAAAATGAGGCTGCAGAAGACAAGAGGGCAAGAGATGGTCTTGTTGACAGACTATAGTATTTCAAACAGAAAATTAACAATGAAGGGAATTTTCAGATCATTTGAGCTTTGAATATTTAGAGTAGACTGGGTGTGTGAGCTCTTCGTGGTCTTGTGCTATGAATTATCATATTGTCATATAGTTAATCCTTGCAAAAGCCTTATGAGAAAGACACTATTATTGTTACTATTAAACAGTTGGGAACTGGGTATAGGAAAGTCATTAGATGCCTGAGGGCACAAAGCTGGTAGATAGAACTGCCAAAATTCAACTCAATTAAACATATCAGGGGGAAAAAAGCATTTTAAAAGGTGGCTTTCCTTAGGCAGTGAGATTCAGAGAAATTTAGAAAGAACTTTGACAGAGTCCTCCTAATATTTCATTACTGTTTGAGCACTTTTGTGCATCTATTCATGTTTTACAAAGTAAAATAATGGCATTTCTCTGTCACAATAAGAAATACAAAATAAGACAAGTTATATTTTTAGTAGCTCTCTACATAAGAGTTGCAAATGGAGGAAAAAGAACATCTTTCTAGGTTCTTCATTATAAGTCCGTGATAGTCAGACCTTCTTGATCAGTAGTGATATCTCAGGACACTGACTCTGAGGGGAACTGACCTGCTACAGAAATATACACTTCCTTCTCCTCACTGAGGACTGGGTTTCTTATGAGACAGGAGACAGCTTCGCTTGAACTTCCATCCACTGTTACAGATGTTTCCACACGAAATAGTCCACTTGCTTCTGTTGCCTTTGTCTCAGCATCTGGCACCAACAGCTGTCCTTTCAGGTCCCTCCAGCGCACCTCAGGCTCTGGGTACCACCCGGTGGATGTACAGGTCAGCCTAATTTTCTTGTTACCAGGCTCAACATGAATATGAGGAGCCATACCTGAACCTGAAGAAACAAGAGAGAGAGAGAAAGCACACTGCTCTCAAGAGTTTTATTGCCACTTCACATGGGCCAGTGAACTTGTGCTTATTAACGAAACTCTTTATACATCAATTCTCTTACTTATAAAAATGGGGTTAAAAATGCTGCCCAGAGCAACTTGGATGGAGCTGGAAAAGATCATGCTTAGTGAGATAAGCCAGAAAGAGAAAGAAAAATACCAGATGGTTTCACTCATAGCAGGAGTATAATGGACCAGGCGAGAAAATAACAAAAATAATGAACAATCATATACCAGAGACATTTTGTGAGGGTGGAGTGTGGAATGGGATCAAAAACGGGGGGTGGGGGGGTGGGGAGGGAAGTGCACGGGATTATGGTGATGGCACACGGGTGACTTGGTGATGGGAAACTGCAGGGATTACAATTGAGATGGGAAAAAAATGTACAAAATGATGTAAAAATAAACTGTTATTAAAAAAAGAAATGCTGCCCAGGGATCTCTAGTGGTGCAGCAGTTTAAAGCACAGCATTAAGAAGCTACAGCCACTTCAGCATGAGTTCGATCCCCACCCCAGAGGTGACCACATAGCAGGGCAGATTTCTCCTGACCCTCCCGCTGTTCCCCTCAGCAGTGTGCTTTGTTGATCTGCCTGTTCTGTGTACCACTCTGTCTCTGGTGAATCCTCCCACTGCCCCTGCAACTCTGGCCTGTACCTCAGTTCTATATGCATAAATAAATCTTTTTTTTTTAAAATGCTGCCCAAGGCCCTCCCTGGTGGCACAATGGATTAAAAGCACTATGAAGCTGGCCCTCCCTGGTGATGCAGCGGGTTAAAGCACAGCAGTAAGAAACTAAAGCAAATTCTGCAGAGTTCGATCCCTGCCTGCTCCGGAGGTGACCACATGGCATGGCAGACCTCCCCTGACCCTCCCGCTGCTCCCCTCAGCAGTGTACTTCATCGATCTGCCTGTTCTGCTCCCCACTCTGTCTCTGGTGAATCCTCTCACCCTCTGCATCTCTGGCCTGTACCCCAGTTCTGTACAAATAAATAAATCTTAAAAAAAAAAAGCACTGAAGCTATATCCACAACTACTGCAGCATGAGTTCGATTCCTGGCCAGGGAGGTGAACCACATGGTGTGGCAAACCTCTCCTGACCTACCCGCTGCTCCCCTTAGCAGTGTATTTTACTCAATCTGCCTGTTATGTTCCCCAGTCTGTCTCTGGTGAATCCTTTCACCCCCCACACCTCTGGCCTGTACCATAGTTCTTGAATGCATAAGTAAGTCTTAAAAAAATAAATACTGCCAACAGGGCCTCCTTGGTAGTGCAAGGGGTTAAGTCTCAGCACTATGAAGCTATTGCCAGTTACTGATGCATGAGTTTGGTCCCCAGCCAGGGAGATGATCCCTAGTCATGGAGCAGACCTACATGGCACAATAGACTTCTCTCTCGCCTGCTGATCCCCTTACAGTGTTTTTCAGTCAATCTGCTTGTTCTGTCCCCCACTCTGTCTCTGGTGAGTCCTTTCACACTGACCACACCTTGGCCTACATCACAGCTCTTATATGCATAAATAAATAAAAATTTTTAAAAATATTTTTATTTTATTTGTGCATATAGATGTGGGGTATAGGTCAGAGGTGCAGGGGTGGTGAGAGAATTCACCAGAGACAGCATGGGGAGCAGAACAGGCTGACTGATGAAGTACACTGCTAAGGGGAGCAGCAAGCAGGTCAGGAAAGGTCTGCTGTGTCATGTGAGTCACCCCCAGGGCGGGGATTGAACTCATGCTGAAGTGGCTTTAGCTTTAGTGCTGTGCTTTAACCCGCTGAGCCACCAGGGAGGGTCCAAAACTTTTTTTTAAAAAATGCTTCCCACAAAGAACATTTTGGAGGAAAAAATTAAAAAGGCCAGACCAACATTTAACAAATAGCCAAACACCAAGTATCTCTATATCAATTGTTTTCTTTTTCCTCCCTCTCCTTTGAAACATTACAAATCATTCTATGTGATAATTTTTAAAGTTGGGTAGCAGAAAACTCTATGAATTCAGCCTGTGAAGTTAAAGGAACACTCTATGAATCCAGACTTTGAAGTTAATGGACTACACTAGTTGGTTGTTTTCTGTGGTAAATTGTCTTCTGCAAATTTCTAGTTTCCCTTTCTTTAAAAGATGTGCTTTTCAGTAGGAATCTCTTGTGATGTTGGGAATGCTGTCAATATAAGTGTGATCCAAATATAATAGCCATGGGTAACCTGAAATACTAATAAGGACAACTGAGGTTTTAAAATTCAGTGAACTGTAGTATAGTCACACCACAACTAATAAAATGTAACTAAAAATCAGCATTACATTTACTGGGATTAAACCATCCTTTTTTTGGGTTGAATTATGATCCCTAAAGACATGTTCAAGTTCTAATCCTCAATATTAATGAATGTGAACTTATTTAGAAATATCATTTTTATAGATAAGTAATTACTAAAGATGAAGCCATATTAAATTAAGGTTGGTGCTAATAAAAAATGACTACTATTTATACAAGCAGAGAAGAATTTGGACATAGAGACACAGGAAAAATGGCCATGCAGAGATGGAGGGGGTGACTGGAGTGATTTCATCACAAATGAAGGAACACCCAGGGCTACAAAAAGTTGGAAAAGACAAGGAAGAATTCTCCCCTACAAGTTTGAGTAGGAGCATATTACTTATGACAACTTGAATTTTAGACAAAATTCAAAATTTAGAAAGCCTCCAGCTTTCTGAGAAAAGAAATTTATTTTCAAGTCACCTAATTTATTCTAACTTATTACTGTAAACTTATGAATCAAGTACAACCTTCCACTAAGTTCCTGAAAGAAAATTAAATGTCATCTGATGTTGCATGGAGGGCCAGACCCTAGAGAAAGACCAGCTGGTAACTAGTGAGTTGTGCTCTAAGGCCATGATAACCTGGAGGTCACAGTGGTGGCTTCCAGTGTTGATGCTGAGAACTGGTATATCAGAAACTAATGTCTTTTGGAAGCAGCAGAGCATTGTGGCTGTGAGGATCTACCCTAGAGTCCAAAGGTTGGGTTTTTACCTGTTGTAGAAACACAGTACAACTAGTGACTATTACTTTGTGCCTTAATTCTCTTTCTATAAAATCAGGATAATAATAATCTCAACTCATTTGGTTAGTGTAAGGATTATTTCATTTAATGTGCTTAATTATTCATAATTCATCTTCTGAAGTTATTTAAGAATACAAAAGAAAGGTACATTACATTCACCTCTAAGGAATTTTGATCTGAAAGGAGGTAACATAGAAACTCATTACTTATGCTCATGACAGGTTCTGTAATGTCTGTAAAGAAATGGCAGGCTCAGTTTTTGTTCAAAAATGTTTCTTTACTCTTTTTTCCCAGAGTGTATTTTTCTGGGAACAATGTCTGAGCAGGTGTGGGATCATAAAGATAAGCTTATTCACGCACCTGAGTAAACAAGAATATCACAGTAAAGTCACTGTAAGCAGGACCCATACCTGACTGGGAAATAAAGTGTCAACTATGGACAAGAATGAGGTACAGAAATCCATCCTGATTTCACTTAACAGATTTTCTTGCCTCTGTCTTTTGAAAGAAAATGAGATGGATTTCTGCCACTCCTCCACAACAGAAAAGGCTAGAATCCTTGTTTTCTTTTTGTTTAAATAATTATCTTCACAAGAGATGTGATTAGGTTTTTATTGCAACTTGAAATCAGAGTAGATTGATTAGATGAGCTTCACCTGAGAGCTTTCATTTCAGAGACTCACCTGTCACCAATACTTCAAATATTGCATCATCATAGTATGTGGAGCTTTCAAAGAAACAGCTATACTCCCCACCATCTGAGGGGCGGATGGAATGGATCCTCAGGGCCACCTGCCCTTTGGTGATGTTCTCCTTCAGAAACCCTGTCCTCCCTCGGTACTCTGGCATCTGCTTCTCTGTATGATCCTGGGAAGCACCATAATGATGTACAAGAGCTGAAGAGTGGTTTCGGTACCATTTTACATCCATGTTCTGAGCGTTCATCATTGGGCTAAGTTGGCAGGACAGCACAGCATCTTCCCCAACTTTGGCAATGATGGGCACTTTTGGCCCTATCACATGGAATTGCCCTGGAAGAAAATAAGAAAAGGATGGAGTCATCATTAGACTGTGGCAGGAATGGTTGCGACCTCCTGAGAGAGAAAATATACCAGTTCAACTAGAAAAGTGAGGTTAATTAGTGAGTAGATCTAATATATGGCTATCTAAGTATATTGGTAGTTAACAAAAGGTAATAACAGAAATTGTTGTCAATATACAATAGTGATGTAATCTTAATCAAAATTTGTGTTTTCCCATTTGCAAAGGGTTAGATTTCAAATTTATATAAATCATTTAATTCCATGTATAAACTCCATGTATTAGAGTGGTGTTCTCATTTTTGACGAGGAAATTGAGCCCATGAGTGATTAATAATTGAGTCAGTGATTAATGAATCAGTGATAATTTGCTCCCAAATACTAAGGCACAAATTGAGAATCCTAATATTAACAACCAAATGTTTCCTTGTTTTACACCATGTTACCAGTGGAGTATCACTTCTTTTTTTTTTTTAAGATTTATTTTATTTATGTATATAGAACTGGGGTACAGGCCAGAGGTACTGGGGTACAGGCCAGAGGTGCAGGGGTGGTAAGAGGATTCACCAGGCAGAGTGGAGACCAGAATGGGCAGACTGACGAAGTACATTGCTGAGGGGAGCAGTGTGCGAGTCAGGAGAGGTCTGCTGCACCATGTGGTCACCTCCGGGGCTGGAGATTGAACAAGCACGAAGCAGCTGCAGAGAACTTCACCGTGCTGTGTTTTTACCCATTGCGCCTCCAGGGAGGGCCTGAGTATAACTTCTATGAAATATAATGGGAAACCACTAGAAATGATGTTACTCAGAGAAGTAACAGAAGCTTGTTTTATATATGTATATGTATATATACACATATATGTGTATATATATGTATGTGTGTATGTATATATATATACACACACACACATACATACGTATGTATACACACACACACACGTATACACATTTGGTCTTTGGCCCATTCCCCTGACAGAGTTCCTACAACCTTTGGAGTTTCCTGAGTGATAAGATTTTTTTTTTATTATTGATAAGGAGTTCCCTTTGACTACAGCTAAGTTCAAAGTATTGTGTTGACTCAAGGTAGATCCTCTAGAATGCTTTGATTGGGGCTGATCTCCAGAGGAATGAACCCTGAGACTAAAGGATCAGAATCTTTTACTCCACCCCAAAATCTTGAGAATGGAGGGAAGCTGGAGATTTTCAATCACCAAAGGCCAATTATTTCATGTAACAAGTCTATGCACTGAAAGGGAAACTTCCACTGAAAACTGAAGCAATGGAGCAAAGAGAGTTCCAGGTGGGTGAACATGTCAATGTGATCTGAGAGTGGGGCATGTGGAGTCCACAGGAGAGCGCATGGAAGCTCTGCTCTCCACCCCATCTCCTGGCCCTTTCTGTGTCTTCCATGTGACTGTTCCTAAATTGTATTGTTTTAATAAAGCAGTGATCATAATCAGCATTTTCAATATTCTTTAAGTCATTCTAAAGTAGTATCAAGCTTGAGGGGACATTGAAACCCCTGGATTAATAGTCAGGTGGCAAAAGTGAAGGTAATATTTGGACTCCATAGGTGGATGACTTTGAAATGGGCAGTCTTGTTAGACTGAGCTCTCATAAATCTGCATGAATCCTGAGTAGTATATGTCAGATTTGAATTCAGTTGTCAAATAGAATTGGAGAGTTGATTGTTACTGGGCTCTCTACTAAGTTCTTAATTGGTAACTATGGAAGCTAAAGAAAAGTATTACAATTCAAATGTCACTTGCTCTAGACCATTCAGTTCATAGAAATGGCCCTTAATGTCACAGGGAGGCTAGAGATAGTAATAACTAAGAAAGTTCAGGGCTTTTCCAGTGACATTAAGCAGGGGAGAATTAAGAGAGTGATAATGTGAGTTAAACTCAGCAACTTGGAGCCACTTTGAAGTACTGAATTTCTCAGATGATTAGCTTTATTCATTTGTGATTTCATTCCCTTCTGAACTATCCCACACCAAAAATTTCAGAGACAATGAAACGAAAATATATGGCAATATCCAGATTTAAGGGGGAACATTTGACGAACTAACTAGTGACATGTTGAGAATCAACATGTGTAACCATAAGTAGGAAGGAGAGTTTGAGCAATGAGGCAAATGGAGCTACCTGAGGAGATGCTCCCTGGGTTCTCAGTAAGGCCTGGAGGGAGGCCTCTCTGGCAACTGAGGTACCAACCATTCAAAGTTCTCTTAAGGGCTTCCCTGGTGGCACAGGAGTTAAGTCTCAGCATAATCAAGCATCTCCAGCCACTGCAGCACCAGTTCCATCCCCAGCCAGGGAGCTGATCCACATGGCACTGCAGACCTCTCCTGTCTTACCCGCTGTGCCCCTCAGCAGTGTATTTCAGTCAGTCCAACTGTTCAGCTCCCGACTCTGTCTCTGGTGAGTCTGCTCACCCCCTGCACCTCTGGTCCATACCCCAGTTCTTATATGCATGAATAAATAAAATAAATCTGAAAAAAAAAGTTCTCTTAAGTTTTCATTCACCTCACTGAATGAAGAGAGTGGAGTGGTGTTTCAATGTTCAAAGGTAAAGTTTTCACCTTTTGCCAGCTACTTTTAACCACCTGTCCACTGAGCAGGACTGATACTGATGACAGTGCACAAGGGCTATCCAGCTCAGGGTCTCAGTGTTGGCGAGTCAGACCCCTTCCCTCCCCTGGTATGTCATGGCCATTGTCCTGGGTCTGGTTCACTTAGATTCACACTATTCTAGAACATGGTGAACATGTTTCTACATGCAAAATATCCACACATGGTATAATAGAGGCAGGGAGCAAGTGGGTTCTGAGTAAGCTGATTCAAACTTGTATGTATTAAAAAGGAAGAAATATACACTTTTAAATGAGTAAATTTGGAGCTGAGTAAAGGATATGAATTAAAAACACCTAAGTGACAAACCTGAAGTCCAATACCAAGTTCAGGGAAAATGAAGGGTCAACACAACAGGCACATGGTGGGGCAGACTGTGGGACTTGCAGTGGATGGCAGTGGCACACTCCGATGATAACCAACACCCCACACATGGTGGGGAGCCCCCACCCGCGGACTAGGCCCCCCCAGGGACAGGCTGGATCTACCACAGATTCTCACTTGCCTCCTCCTGACTATGACGGAGAGACACTCAGATGCACTTGTGAAAAGCTTGTGCCGTTTTAAAATTTCAAAGCATCTTTTTTGGGTGCCATATTTAAATTTATTTTTCTGTCCACTAGAATGCCTTTCATTAAAGTCAATAGGAATTTTCTGTGTTAAAATGTACTGATAGCTCTCTGTTTCTATTTTGATTTAAATGCAATATGTCGAGCATATTTCAATCTATCTGTTTAGCAAATGCATGTATTCTCATATTGTTTTCTAGTTAAACTTATCTAAGCACAAAATTCCCATTTAAAAATTGATATTTAGGGCCCTCCCCGGTGGCGCAGCGGGTTAAAGCACAGCACTGAGAATCTAAAGCCGCTTCCGCATGAGTTCGATTCCCGCTTGCCCCGGAGGTGACCACATGTTGTGGCAGACCTCTCCTGACCCGCCCGCTGCTCCCCTCAGCAATGTACTTCGTTGATCTGCCTATTCTGTTTCCCACTCTGTCTCTAGTGAAGCCTCTCACTGCCCCTGAGCCTCTGGCCTGTACCCCAGTTCTGTATGCACAAATAAATAAATCTTTAAAAAAAATTGATATTTAATTTGAAGAGTTCAAACACAGATATAAACAGAGACCATTTGTTAAAGCCTAAAGCATTTCATCACTCTGGCCCAGGTAATGCTGCTGGGTGGGAGCAACAGGACCCTGAAGTCCCTAGTCTCTGACTTCTGGTTCAGAATTACCCACAGTTGGGGGCAACACATGCACTTTTCTTTTTAGGCTCAGCTTTAGAAAGTGTCTTTAGAATAGGGTAACAACAACATAAGCCATCACTTTTAGGTTGTTTGTAGTTTTACATAATTGTATCATTTTCCTCACAAATCAAAGATAAAATAGAAAAGAGACTCAGAAAAGCAGAGACAGAAGGACATACTAAAGTAAGATAAAAATATAATGGTCCAGGAAATTGGGGAAAAAAACTGCAGTTCTAGGAATATTTTGTGGAATTAAATGATTTCTTATTTAGGCTCCTGGTAAAGAAAGTAATTTCTCCTTCACTCACCTGTGCTTGGCCAAGGCAGAAGGGCTGAAAGCAGAAGGGTCCCGATGACCTTGCTCGAGGTATGCATCTCAATTGGGGGCCTCAGCATCAGAGAATCACACCTCTGTCCTCTCATGCACTGTCATGGTCACAATCCTGGGTCTGGTTTCCTGATACTCATTTTTCCTAAAACACCGTGAATATGATTCCTAAACACAAAACTGGCTTGAGAACTCCCAATGGGAAAGTGAAAGCAGAAGTGGACTCTGAGCAAAATGACTCAACTTATTGTGTCAAAAGGCACAATAAGGAAGAAACATAAAGCAGAATTACTGATTATATGAAGAGGCAAATAGCCCATAGTATGAAGAAAAATCTCACTTAAACTCTTCATTTCAGTTTCCAGACGTGGTGGCAGAAGATTGGGGATGAGGCCAGGGGAAGGGGGCTGGTGGTAGTGTTACAGGGAAGCCCAGAGTGCACTGGGCCACCTGTCTGTGGGGACTCACCTGTGCACTCACAACTCAGTTACACTGCAGGTACACACAAAAGGGTCAATAACGGGTTTATTTACACAAGGGGAAAGGAATAGGAAACAACCCAGGGAAAGAGAGCGGGACACAAAGTAAGTGCAATACATTACGGCTAGGCTGACTGAACACACTGAGTCATGCTGTTCGGAGAGCTGCTTCCCAAGCTAGACCCTGAGATGCACTCACGCCCTATTTATCCCCCAAATGTCCCAGAATTCATTCCTGCTAGCTCCGCCCTTCAGTCCTCACAGTTCTTCCCCTGGTACTTCTGGGAGTTGTAGTTTCCAATCACTGGAGTAGGGGATAGTGTCCAGAAAGCTGAAGTAGTGGGTGGAGTCCATAAGACTCTGCAGAGTTCCTTTAGGACATCCTTCCCCTTAACAGTAGGACTGCCTTGAGTTATTATTATATTTTCATTTTGGCACAAGGAAATTCCAGAAGTGTCACAAAACAGACAGGGACTTGTGCAAAAGTGAAAGAGTTGAAAGATGGCATGTCTTCAATGGACTACTGACAAAGGAAGTTTTAGTGGAGATATGCTCCAGTAGAATTAATCTCCCCCTTTCTTCCCACATTTTTTGCTGCAGGGACAAGAGCAGTATTACTGCATAGATATTTTGGTTATAATTTTTAAAGCACCCTCAAAAGTTAAAATGAAAATCTCTAACATGAAAAATGGTGAAATGCATAAATAGGCATTGTTTATGGTTTCTCTATAGCAACTAAAGAGTATATGCAGATGACTTATATACATGGATATAAGGTGATTTATATATATATATAATGTCATTGGCTATGAGGAAAATACAACATAAGATGAAAATAAGATATTGATACATATCTGTTAAAACAACTACAACTTATTTTTGAATAACAATAGCAATGCTGGTAAGAACACAGAAAAATGGGATTCATTAAGCATAAATTGCTAATGAGAATGTAAAAAGGTACAGTTATAGTAAAGATTATTTTGTAGTGTCCAGTGAAACTAAATATACAACTACTACTTGACTCAGTAATTGTTCTTCGTGGAC